CACCCAGAGCCCCAGAAGGATCCCAAGTCTGGCAGGGCAGTCACCATTCTGCATGGTGCCAGAGAAAAGAGAGCACCGGAGGTCTTGAGCCAACCATGAAATCATTTTCCTGGCAGTGACACCAGTCATTCCTGCCACAAGTCACTGGTGAACAGAGGTCACAGGACCTTCCCACCTGCAAACAGCCTGGTGGTGCAATCCTACCACACATCCAGAAAGCGGCAAGCTGGGAATGTTGGGTGAATAGCTCTAACAACCTGTTTTCCATTGCATCCCTGGCACTCAGCAGAGCACCTTGGTAATGTTTGTTGACTGACTAAATGACTATGATAGAAGGTCCCTTCTCCTGTTGGTCACAGAGAATAGATGGGTAAGATTAACTTACTGGGCTACTTGCCCACCAAAGTGACCTTCAGATAGAAAAAGTATAACAGTAAAAACCATTACAAGAAAATGGATAAATATTCATTGTTTACTTATTCACACAACGTGTATCTATTGAGCACCTCCCCCATGTGCCTGGAAGTTTCTAGACCCCATGTATTCCAGTATTTGAGTAGGAAAGGCCTCTATCACTCAAGATTCTTGTTTGTAAGCAACAGAGACTGGCTCTGATTAATTAAGCAATAACAGTATTTGGCTAAAAGATATTGGGGGACTTCTGGAATCATCTATACCCAACGGGGCCAGGAGAGAAGCTGGAGTCTCCCACGGCAGGGGCGCTAGGGAGGTCATAGGACAGAGGAAGCCCCACCCTTGGCCTCTTCTAGTTTCCTCTTGCATGGCAGCTGCCCTGGCTGATGATAGACACATTTCTTCTGCTCTGTCCTTTTCTGTCTCCTCCCCCAACTCCTGGTTTCTTCCCTTGTCCTGACTCACTTCACCATCTCTGCCTGTCTCCCCCATTACATAATTGTCTCCTGTCCCAGGGGCCCTTACGTAACCCATGTCACCTCAGGCTTCCATCCCCACCTCAGCCTCACCTGTCTGGTACAATATTTCACAGTTGGGTGGGCCAAGCCCTCAGCAAGTACGTGGGGGGAAGGGGGCGGGGGATGGGGAGGGGGAGGAGGAAGCATTCTTCATCCCAGCAGAGGGACTGGACAAAACTCAACTGGCAGGAACGAGATCTGGAGGAACCTCTTCTGCACACGAAGGCTTAGCGCATGGACTGTTGTCAGAGGGACTCAGGCTGGCTCTCTGTGCCTCAACTTCCATTTCTGTAAAATGTCTGCATCTTCAAATTCACTGCAGGACCATCCACAATAGTCAAGACATAAAAACAACCTAAGTGTCCACTGACAGATGAATGGACAAAGAAAGTGGGGTATATATATACAATGGAATATTATTCAGCCTGAAAAAAAAGAGAAACTCCTGTCATTCATGACACCCTGGACGAACCTAGAGGACATTATGCTAAGTAAAATACACCAGACACAGAAAGACAAAAACTGCACAATCTCACTTATATGATGAATCTAAAAAAAACTGAACTCATAGAAGCGGAGAGGTAGGGGCGCCTGGGTGGCTCAGTCGGTTGAGCATCCAACTCTTGGTTTCAGCTCAGGTCATGGTCTCAGGGTCATAGGATCGAGCCCTGCATCAGGCTCTGTGCTCAGTGCAGAATCTGTTTGATTTTCTCTCTCTCCCTCTGCCCTCTGCCCCTCCCCCTGCTCTCTCTTGCAAATAAATAAATAAATCTTACAAAAAAAAAAAAAGTGGAGAGTAGATCAGTGGTTCCCAGGAGCTGGAGGGTGGGGGAAATGGGGAAATGTTGGTCAAAGGGAAATTCTCAGTTATAAGAATAAGTTCTGAGGATCTAATGCACAGCTTGCTGACTGTAGTTAATAATACTATATTACATGCTTGAAATTTGCTAAGAGAATAGATCTTCAGTGTTTTGACCACAGAAGAACAAAGAGCAAAACAAAACTATGAAAGGTGATGGATGTGTTAATTAGCTTGATTGTGGTAATCATTTTATAATGTATATGCATGTCAAATGATCATGTTGTACACCTTGAATATATACAATTTTATTATACCTCAGTCAAGTTAGAAGAATAATTTTAAAATAAAATAAAATGGGGAGGGGCACCTGGGTGGTGCAGTCATTAAGCACCCAACTCTTGGTTTCAGCTCAGGTCATGATCTCAAGGTCGTGAGATCAAGCCCCACATTGGGCTAAGCGCTCAGTGTAGAGTCTGCTTGAGATTCTCTCTCCCTCTCCCTCAGGCCCTTCTGCCTGTGCTCTCTCTCTCTAAAATAAATAAATCTTAAAATTTAATTTAATTTAAAATTTAATTTAATTAAAAACTGACATTTCAGTTCCACAGTCATACTAGTCACATATAAAGTGCTCAATAGGGATGTCTGGTGGCTCAGTCAGTTAAGCATCTGCTTTTGGCTCAGGTCATGATCCCAGGGTCCTGAGATTGAGTCCCGCATCAGGCTCCTTCCTCAGTGCGGAGCCTGCTTCTTCCTCTGCCTGCCGCTCCCCCTGTTTGTGCTCCCTCTCTCTCTCTGACAAATAAATAAAAATAAAATCTTAAAAAAAATAATTAAAAATAAAGTGCTCAATAGCCACACGTGGCTAGTGGCTGCTATACCTGACAGCACAGATACAGAACACTGCCATCATTGGGGGGCCTGGGTGGCTCAGTCAGTTAAGCATCTGACTCTTGATTTTGGCTCAAGTCATGATCTCAGGGTGGTGAGATCAAGCACCACCTGGAGCCCTGCGTGTGGAACCCAGAGTCTGCTGGAGATTCTTTACCTCTCCCTCTCTCTCCCCCTCTGCCCCTCCCCCACCCGTTCCCCCATTCTACCCCCCTGCACGTGCTCTCTCTCTTTCTAAAATACATAAATAGGGGCGCCTGGGTGGCTCAGTTGGTTAAGCGTCTGCCTTCGGCTCAGGTCATGATCCCAGAATCCTGGGATCGAGCCCTGTGTTGGGCTCCCTGCATCGGCCTGCTTCTCCCTCTCATACTCTTGTCGCTTATGTTCCCTCCTCTCACTCTCTCTCTCTGTCAAATAAATAAATAAAATCTTTAAAAAAAAAAATCTTGTCAAACCTACCCCAGTCCTCCCTCCACACAATTTTTTTCCTCGAGCTTATTGATATACAACTGACATATAATATTGTGCAAGTTTAAGGTATACAATGTAATGATTTGATATATGTATCTATTACAAAATGATTACACAATAAGGTTGGTTAAGGCATCCATCACCTCACATAGTTACAGTTTTTTTGGTGAGGTGAGAACTACATATATATATATATATATCTCCACAGCAGAAAAAAAGCCCCTGTCCTAGATAGATAGATATATATCTCCACGTGCCAGACTCTACATAAATCACTTTACATTTATCATGTGTTTAACCTTCACAACAACCCCAACAGGCATGTACTCCTAAAGTTATCTTCATTTTGCAATTTGCAAGAAACTGACGCTTGGAGTGAACTTACCCACGTTTACCCAGGAAAGGATCTCGGCGTCAGTTCCACTGGGTACCACCAGGTGGCAATGCCTATCCATTTTCCAATTACGCAGTCCGGCGGGAACGCTGAAGAGGGGTCTTACCGTAGATAATGTTCGCCTACTGAATGCCAGGCATTGTTCTTAGGCGTTGAGGTTACGTCGGCAAATAAAACAGGAAAACTGTTCTGCCTTTCCCTTCCATTTTTCCGTTCGCGGAGGTGTGTACGTGGCCTGACCAGGAGAAAATCGGCTTGTGTGGGCAGGAACTGAGGGGCCGGAGGCTCGCGGGAAGTGATGAAAATAATTTGAAAGGTCTGTGGTCATCAAAGATCAGGGCATACAACTACCCCCAGGAGGGAATATTATTCTTATTCTGCAGCCCACCTTCCTGCCTCCTTATCCCCACTCCACCGCAGGGAGGTAGGGAGCAGGGGTCACCTCCCTGTCCTGTCTTGTAGGACCGGGATGGGGGAGGAGGGAGGTGGTCTCACTCTGAGAAACCAGAGTGGTGAGTCCTCAAAGTTCTGGGTTTGCGGGGGGGGAGCTTGAACGTCTGAAAGTCACCGAGGGAACCAACCCCGTGGGTGTGCTGGACCGCAGCCCCCCAAGCCCCATCTGGGCAATGCTGATCTCGGACAGCCTGGTGGATCAGAAGCCAGACTCAGGGGCGAGGAGAGAGGCTGTCTGGGACCCCTCCTTCAAGCCGAGGCTGCGGCCGTCCCGCGGGCGTGCATCCCGACTGTGCCCTGAGCGTCTGCGGAGCCAGTGGTCCCCCGGACAGCTGGGTGTGTGCCGCCGGGGAGAGTGGTGGACGTGTGTGTACGTGGGTGATGTGTGCAGCGTTGGTGGTGGCGATCCTGCGTAAGGACGTACGTGAGGGGTGCACTCTGTGAACGTGCATGTTTGGGGTAGTCAAGGACTCAAGGGTTGAGCAATGTGCGCAAAGGGACAAGTTGGGGCGGGGTGGGGGGAATGGAGTGTGCCCAGGCGGACACCCGGTAGAGGACACCAAGGCGCGCCGGTTGGGATCCTTCGCCACGCGCGCGGCGGGATCCTCTCTGTGTTGAGGACCTGGTGCTTGTCCGTTGAGGGGAAGTTACTGTTTGTGAACCCACGTTGGAGAGTGTCATGGGCGGAATAAAGCCCCTGTACTAGGACACTCGTGGGAGTATCCCTCTGTGTGTGTGTTCCTGCAAATGAATCAACTTGGGGATATGTCCGGTGCGTCTGGACTGCTTATGGGTGCACTGTGGATGTGGAGGGAATGTCTCCAAATCTGGGACCGTGGAAGGAGGTCGTCTCAGCGCTCAGGGCAAGGAGCTTGGGGCTCGCGCTGGTGGAGAAGGTGGAGAGACGCAGAGCCGTTTGCCCTGGGTTCAGCAAGTTGCAGCCTGCTGGGCAGGAGCCATGGGCGGAGCTGGATGCCCCGGGGGGCGGGGGCGGAGGGGGCGGGCCGGCTAGAGGGGCGGGGCCGCCGCGGCTGCAGCAACGCGGGTCGGGCCAGGGGGCGCCTCGCGCGGCAGCGGCTCGCGAGGGCGATGCAGTGAGACAGGACCGGCGGGCGGGCAGGCTCGCGCGGGGCGGGGGCCGCGGCCGCGCTGCAGAGATGTGACTTGAGGCCGAGAACCAGCAGGAGCGTCGGCGCTGCGAGGCCGCGGGGGTCGGTGAGTGCGAGGCGCGCCGATGGGGTGGAGGGCGCTGCTAGGACCCCAGAAACTTTTACCGCCATGGACTTCGGAGAACTGGGGAGTCTGCTTGTTGTGCCCCTCTAAGCCCCCCCCGGGCGTTAGTCTGCTGAGGAAGATGGGGGATCGGGGAGAGGGGGAACCACAGTGAGGCCGGAGAAGAGCTGCAGAGGGCGGGGGGAGGGGAGGGCTGGAGACCTTTATGCCGGGGGCGGGGGTTGGAGGAGGAGAGGGTGCTGTGTACCCGGACCAGGTGGTGATCCAAGTCTGTGATCGCAGGTAAAGGACAGCTGGGAGTAGTGTGCGGGAGTCCAGCCGTACCCGAGTGACTCGTCGTGGGAGGGGAGCCGCGGGCAGGTCCCGGGGCCGCGTGCTCAGCCTGTGGGGGCTGACCGCAGGGCAGACGGAGCTGTGGTTATAAGGACCCGGCTTTGGGGGTGAGCGGCCGCACCTGCCGCAGGGACTGGGGGCCAGGCTCGCAACCGGCGGTGCCTGTGCACTACGGGACAAGGGAACACTGCAGGAGGAAAAGAGGCAGAGCTGAGACCTGGGGCTGAGGGGCAAACGAGAGACGGCTGCATACAATGGCGGGGGGTTGGCGTTTCTATTCCGACCAGGCTGGGGCTGAGGACTAGCCGTGTGCTGTGGTGCGTTCGCTGTCCTTGGAGGACACGGGCTCCCAGCCCCGCACATCCCGGGATCCCTACCGCCCGCACTGGGCCTGGGCCCGGGGGAGCTAGTTAGCCATCCGGGAAGCGGGGCGCCGACCTTGCCACAGAGGACGGCCCCAGCGCAGCTCGCGAGTTCGTTCCCTGGCTGTCGCTCTGTCACACCCAGGCCTAGCCAGTCAACCCCCTCCCAACTCGTCCCCCGTTCGCTAAGGGGGCGGCTCCTTGGAGCTCGGACAAAGGCCCCTGGAGTGTGGCGGGCAGCGGCGTCCCTGTCTGGGGCCCCGGCCCACGCGCCACATTGGCTACCCAACTGGGCCAGGATGGGGGACCCTTGAGCAGAGCCCAGGAGGAACTGGGGGTCCTCGAAAAGACAAGAGAAGTGAGGGAAAAGTGAGGGAAGGACCTGGCACAAAAGCCACGGAACTTCAGCCAGGGACCCTTGATTCAGAAGTTTCCTCGGTGGGGTGGGGGCTTTCGGTGGATTGGGACTTCCAGTGAAGCTGCATGCAAATAGCATGTAAATAGAATGCAAATCATCATCTGTTGGTTGGGAGCCCTCCACGAGGCCAGTTTTGTTTGTAGGCTGTGGAGTGAAGGGTTTTCTATCTGTTCCCTGCTCTGAGTCTGAAAAGGGGTCAGCTGAGTTGAGAAGGAGAAAAATGGAAGGGGAAAGGAGTCGCCATTTGGGGCAGGCAGCAAGACAAGCAGTGTTGTTAGAAAGAGAAGCTTCAAACCCTTATTGCTTAATTTGTTCTTTCAGTAAATGTACCAGCTAGAGATCTGGGGTTGGGGCACTACAGTGTAGAGAATGGACAAGCCCCAGCTCTCAGGGCACTGGCCAGGTGGGTGAACAAATAAATAGCTAAATAAGTAAGTAAATAGTAAGTAGATGGAACTTCTAATTGGGGTAAGGGCTGCCAGGAAAATAAAACAGGAAGATGTCAAATAAAGTGATGAGGGTTTGTGTATGTGGGGAAGACGGTTCTCAGGAGTGACATTTTTGTCGAGCCTGGCAAGATGGAGGGCCCACCTCTGGGAGATCTTGGGGGACCACTGCGCAGGCAGAGGGCACTGTAAATGCAAAGGCTTGGAGGTGGGAATGAGTTTAGCACTGAACAAAGGCCATTGTGGCTGGAGCTCGGAGGCAGATGTGGAGGGGGTGGGTGGGAGAGGGGCTGGTAGGGACCAGCCAGAGCACGATCTTTTGGGCCATGGAAAGGAGTTTAGATTTTATTCGCCATGGGCCAGTGAACCTTGGAGGGTTTTGATTAGGAAGCCAAGGGATCTGATTTTTTAAAAGCTCCCCTGACCTAAACACGGAGATGGAAAGCAGCTCCCCTTTCATTCTGCCTCTGGGGATGGCGAGGCGCCGGGAGCCTCTGAGGGGCTCCGTCTGGCCGGTGGGGACCGTCTTGAGCCTGTCCTGTCCTGTGAACCCACTTGGGGAGCGGCTAGGGTTTTAAAATTCACTCTCCACTTTGAGGCAGTTCTTGTCCACCTTAAGTGGCCCCCACCCAGAGCCCTTGGCTCCATAAGCACTTCGTGCAGAGCTTCCTGGGGGTTCTGAGTTAGTCACATTTTTTTCTCCGAATTACCGCCCAAGAGGAACCATCCACCCCTGAACGGACAGCCAAGGATGCAATTTGCATTTAAATGATTGCTTTTATTTACAGGATTGGAGCTGCTTTGCATATTCATGGATCATGGAGCTTGTGTTCTGGCAACCCTGTTTACTAACCTAGGAGGGTTATTAAATTCAAGGGCCCCCAAAGAGGCTGGTGGTCTGGGCAACATTAGGAAATGAAGATTATGAGGTGGTATAACTTGGAAAAGATATCAGAAGGTGAGATTGTGGGTCTGGGAAAGAGCTTAATGTCAGGAAACCTTGTAACAGTTTAATCCCGCAGAGCAGGAAATGCACCATGGGCTATAAGGGAGTGGGCTGGGACAGAGTGTAATGCTGGGGTGCGTGGGGAGACTGTTTCCACAGCCTCATCCTGGCCTTCTGCCAGGTATGGGGTAAGGGCTCAAACCAGAGGTGCAGTGTAAAGGCCTTGGGTCAGGAGTTGGGAGAAATGAGTTCTAGTCCAGCTTGGCCTGCGAATTCCAGTAAGCCTCTGGCCAAGCTGCCTCACCTCTCATTTTCCCAACAGGAAGGACGATGGAATCATGACTGTCTTTTTAATAAGCAGGGATCCTGTGGGCCAAGCACCTTGTGGAGTATTTTTCATGTACTTTTCACACTGGCTTTGTGAAGGCAGCACTATCTTTTTTTTTTTTT